ACTGTGGAGGGTGGGGGTGGATGTGTTTATCTTCATTGTACTACTAACCTTGTAATACCATCCTTGATGTAGTATAACAAACATTCCGACATCAGTGGATCTTCGTTCAAGTTCACTAAATGTGGGCTCTATTCAAGAAAATAAACAAATAACATGTGTTACATATAAATGAGTCAACAGTAGAACCAATCACAGTGTGCTGCTTAGCCAATCAGACTGCTTGTTCACGGCACACTCAAGGCATGACACCCCTGTACCAAGAATTCATCAACCATAAGATATTTACTCTCCTTGGAACGACAACACATCTCATCCAGCAAAGTGGGACGAAATCTGGTTTAAGTATTGTCGGCAGAAAGAAAAGGTTTTGTTTATGTACCTTTTTGGGTTGGAAAAGACCAACAGTGTTTCCATCCTCTCCAATTGCCACACCCATCTCCACCAACATGGCTTCCCTGCAGACAAACAAAGGAAAATGGTGCAAATGGTGCCATCATGTTGTAGGTGATGCCATCCTCGTTATCAATAAGATATGGGCAAATGGAGTCACCATGATATACCATTTAATGGATAACAATATGGACAAATAATACCTTACCTTTCCTGTTTGATGGCTTCAGTTTTTCTGAGCTTCTCTTCCCAAGTCTCATTGAGTTCTGCAATCAGTTTCTCTGAAACCTAAAAAAATGAACAAAATGTCTATCACTGCAAGATTGTTTAATTTTCATAGAATGTGCATTTCTTCAGGGAAAGAARCCCATACAATCTGTGACATCAGCTGCTAGTGTTGTAGATATTACCTGAAGTTTCTCAATTGTTCCATACTCTCCACTTGTTCGACGTATTGGACCTGATTTGGCAAGCATTGCTGTAAGATAAAAATATTTGGTAGATAATGAGGTACCTTGGGAAACATACTCATGAACTATACAGAGCATGTTGGGAATTGAGGAGTAACTAAGGCCCCACTTACACGGATGTAGGGTGACCACTACTGCTAGGGCTAACTCTTTTGTTTTTGGTTTCAAGTACCTTGGGAAAGAAAATGAAAGACCTAACCATATCAGGGTCACCCGTAATGTTCAAGGTAAATGATCCTCAAGTCATGAATTTTGTAATCATTGGTGACATATTTTCCATGGTAACAGATGTAACTTACATTCAAGATGCTCTACATCATATCCCTCTTGAAGAAGGATTTCCTTTAGTTTTAAAACCTCTTCTTTAAGTTCGCGAATGATCTGACAAAAACAGAATATGAATATAGTTCAAAGTTCAAAGAATTCTCACCCTCCCCCTCCCCCTGGGGAAGACATTTTCGATTATCAGGGTAGGGGAGACAGGACAAAAGCTGGTATAGATACCTTAGCATTAGGATCCTCATTGATAACAGCCTTACACAAGATGTGCTTGGTGCGATCAGCATATCTGGATAATTAATAGAAGAAATGAGATAAAAAAGAGATGGAAAAAGAAAAACAAATGGGAAATGAAACCAAAATAAAACAAAATAAGAGCTGCACAAATAGCTTGATAACAGATCAATGTTACATCAATGTACCCTAATGACAGAATCCAGGAGGAGATCAAATTTCAAAAGGCAAGCCAAGGCAGTCTTGGGACTGGGTGGGGCCACTTCAGCCCTCCCCTTAATCCCCCCCTCCTTCTTTGACACAGGAGTAAGAAGAGGATTCCAGCTTGATTTTGACCTCACTTTGGGAAGAGCACTTCTGGGACAGGCTAGCATCAGCAAGCAATGAAATACCCAGCATCCAGGAGGAGAGAAGGGTTATTACCTTAGAGTACTCAAGGTCTCTTCAAAGTTGATATCAGCTGGGCTGATGGCGGCTATCATGGTAGTTTTAGAATTACCACCTGTAAAAAAAAACATCAAATTTTATCAATACCCTGAAACAATATCTTGTTTGATCTAAGTCAGGGCATGGCTAACTCACAGATCAAACCCTGAAACAATATCTTGGTTGATCTAAGTCAGGGCATGGCTAACTCACAGATCAAANTTGATCTAAGTCAGGGCATGGCTAACTCACAGATCAAACCCTGAAACAATATCTTGGTTGATCTAAGTCAGGGCATGGCTAACTCACAGATCAAATTGTAATTTAGTTTATAAGGATTAGCAGAGGAGAAAAACCAGAGAAGCTGGTGTAAATGAACAAATGTGTGATGTCTGAAGCAAAGCTGAGAGGATTTAAAATTAACATTTAAAACAGTCATTAAATATATTGTGCTGCATACATGTACATGTACTGTACTTGAATAATGACAGGAAGTTTGTGCGTTTACTGCAGAGTTTACATATTGACAGTGTATGTTGAAATAAAAGGATTAGAGCTTAGATAACTAATAATGTATCTAACCTAGATTTTCTTTGAGAAGCCAAGTCAAGATGGAGTCTCTGTAAGGTATGAATTCTGAATGTCTTTTCTTCTTGTGATGAGAAGACTAGTGAATAAGATGAAACAAACAAAAGAAAAGGTCAAAATATTGCCACTCATTGTCAGTATCCTTATCTCCATTATTTCAAATGTTGTTACCTGTTCAGCTAATGCAGAGATAACTTTTCCAAGTGTTGTTAGAGATTTATTGATGTTTGCACCTTCCTGTGAAAAGATATCATTTTTACTTTCATGCCTCTCAACAGGATTGACCTCATTTCCTCCTTTAGAGTTGTTCTCAATAGACCTAGCTGTGGTGTAATGTTTTGCCATTTCATACCACGTGTCATTCTCTTGAGAATAAGRTTCTTTGTTTGAGTTTTATCCATATTCATGTGTCTTCTCATGCACAACCGTTAAACAAAGAATGATACTCAAGGGAATGAAATATGACTGTAATGGGAAAGCATTGCACCATGACGAATAAGGTCTAATGTGGAATCATACAATTTGCATTCACAACAAAATGGAGTTATGGTGGACATCAATCCAATCGTTTCCATGAGGAAAGAAACAAAATTTTCAAGGGCTATGCCTATGGAATGTCATGGATACGCATTGACTCTCCTTCACCATCAATACACCATACCTTGAGTCTTTCTCCTGTGTTACCAGTAGAATCAGCTCGTTCACTTCCAGCCAGATCCACAAGGCTGAGTTTACTAACCTGAAATATTCATCAAAAAATGTTTTAAGCAACTCAGGAGAAGCTAGCAATTGTTGTCTGTCAGGTTTAACATTTCTCCCATTTTTTTATTTCCCTTCCATCTCATTTATAAATCTTCTAAAAATAAAATTGTTCCTACCTTTTCAGTAGTAAGGTTACTTAGTTCATCATGCCTAATGAAAATAAAGTAAAACAAATCAATCTTCGTTCAAAATTCATGGCATTTATTAACCAAGTAGGAGGTCCAGATGATGGTTGAGTTCCTCTGGCTGCAGGATTTTGACCTCTCAAGGAACCAATCAGATTGCTCCACCGGTCRTGTGCACTACTAATGCGCCGCCTCTCACCAATGCGGCCTGATTTCGAGTCCTGCCGATCTCGATGTCGTATGTGAGTAGAGTTGTTTGTTGGTTCTTTCCTGTGCTTCAAGGGTTTTTCTCCGGGTTCTCCAGTTTTCTTCCCTCCTCAAAAATCAACTTCTAAATTCTAATTCGATCTTTGGGCTTTCACTTAGTTTGGAGCCTATAGCTCTGTTGTGATTGTCCCATGCTGTGATACAACAGCCAAAGCTTTGTAGATTTTTTTTAGATCTTCATCCAGACTTCGAGATAATAACATATAATATGCTACTCATCACCATGGCAACTTACTTTCTTTGAGTGAATATAATACTGAATATTGCATGGGATCTACTACTGGTTTCATTCATGTTGGTGGCAGCTACAGTCCTGGTAAAAAAATATTTTTTTAATATTAAGACCTTAAAATAACCAATTAATAAATAGTTATTAATGATATCAAAAAATTAGCTTGCCTGGCTTTGTTTCCTTCATCAATCAAGTCATTAATGTCAGCAAATGAAGTAACAGCAAGCTTTGCAAGATCCTCAACATACGGCCCTAACACAGGGTGCTCTCTTACTCTCAAGTTGTTCTTCGCTGTTGGGCTTAGAAGATCTCTCACTCTTTCACAGTAGATTTCTAAGTAACTCACCTAAAAAAATGAAATTGAAAAATACAAGGCTCCTATGAACCTACTGTTTAAGGTCGTCATGCAATACGTTCTCTCCCATTGGACAATACATACTGCAGTCAATCAGAGAATGTAAAAGTACCGAAAAATTTCTTTTGATTGACTGCAGTGTATTGCATGATTTACCCATCATGACTCAATCAGGTAGCAACGAGAAAACGAGTGGTAGCAGCTAAGGGACAACTGAAGGTTTTGGACGGTCAGCCCAACAATGGTACTATGCATTAGTAACATTGCTGGCTAACAGAATAGTCTTAGCTAGTAATAATATTGTAAATGCTAGACAGTGCAAACTTACTTCAACAGAAAATGTCAAGTCTTCACTTGTCTCCTGCTCAACTTTTTGAAAAAGTTCTTCACATAGCTGTTTGAGCATAAAAACGGTAATATAGTTAATCAAAATTAATTAAAATTAATTAATCATTAAACAATATTAGTATTAATACTGGTATATATACTGGTGTCAATACAGACCTGTGGTATAATGCCTTTTTGACCAGGTTCTTGCTTGCCCATCATGGTATATGATTTGCCAGATCCAGTTTGTCCATAAGCAAAGATACAAACATTATATCTAGAAAACCATCATATAACAAATTACTACAGACAAGCTTACATACGAGTGGTCACCTTTATTAGATCACAGCTATATAAAGAGGTTGATTAATCTACTATATTACAAAGGTTATTTGCATGTGGATATTTTCCAAAAACACACCCTTCAAAAGCATGCTGTAGCATTTCACAGCCAACATCTGAATAAACTTGCTTCTGATTTGCAAAGTGTGGATCATCCTGGGAGAAAAAAATTTAAAGCATAAGAATAGAATATCCTTTAGTTAATGGATTATTATATCAGTTCAAACAATGTATAGAGGAATAAATGAAATCATTGATGTATGTATTATTTGACAGATTGTGCCCTGTAGGCTGCTTGTGCCATGCAGCTTAATGTACAAACGTAATAAATGTTTTAATCACACAAATAACGGGGCTGACTGTTAAAAATTGTGGTGTTAGTCAAACACAGTGAGATTTAAAGGAATATGTGTTATGTGCTAGAATCCCGGGAGGGGGGGGTACTCCCATATATGGACTATACTGAGATGATCCGCTGAACAGGGTGTGGCTTTTCGAGCTTCTTGTCATAAACAGGGTATGCAATTTCACTCAAGTTCCAAGTTCTTCCTGAGTTTCCTTTCACATTCAGGGTTTCTACTTTCCTATTGACCGAAACTGGTTATTATGGTAATCAAAAAAAAACAATACGCAAGCTGACATGATAATTATTGAAACAGGAACTCAGTGCAATTAATTATATCTTTTATCATAAACAGGGTCCACAAATTCGAGTTTTTTTATCATGAACAGGGTACCCCTTTCAGAATCCCAGCAGAACACCCCTATCCAAATCCTGGCGGAGTACTCCCCCCCCCCTTCCAGGGCTAGAATGTTCTTTTCATCTGACAAGCTAGAATTAATACCTGAGAATGAGACCAGTACGAATAATCATAAGAGAAGTTTTTTGGTTTTTCACTTAAATGCTTTGGGTTTAGGATAGCTGAAACATCAATACAAAACATTAAGTACAACGACCTTTACTATAGAGTATATACAATATAATATTTAATTACTCAATAGTTACAATTTGTTATTATTTCATTATAAAATACATTAAAATCAATTTCAATTTCCCCCATTTATTTATCTATATACACTATTCAGACATTCATCATAGAATCAATTGAGAAAAGCACTTCCTTTTCTATGCAAAAACTACCCAGTGCTAATGGAAACTAAAAGAGAAAGCAGCAAATCTTAAGTCTTATTTCCCTTCCTTGAAATTTCTGGATATTCCTCCAGGGGRATTCTATTAATCTTTTGGTATTAATCCCTTAGAACATTAATTATTCATGTCGTCTAAAATGGAATTAACATTTTCTGTGGAAAAGGGAATTTGAAACTAAAAATTTAGAAAAATCACTGCCAAAAGGTATAATCTTATGTACAATAAGCAAAGATGTTTGGGAAAAGAAAATTCTAAACACATTATATAAAGCAGCAGGTAGGAAAAGTAAATGTACAAAATGAACAATTGTACTTGAATTTATAGACAGTTTGTCTTGTTCAAACATTAATAATAATTGGATTCATTACATGTTGACAAGGAGCCACCATGGGGCTGTATAAATATTAGTTATTGAGGGACAAGAATAAAATATTTTTAGCTTTCAAGATTGGGATTTTTATTCAAACCAATGCATGAATGGTTGAATGTGATTATGGTTTTCAAGACTATATTGACTTTGTTTCATACCAATACGAGAATAATAGACTGTAAATGAATGGTTCATCACAGCAAAAAGCAAGACACAAGGAACACAGCAAGACATTCAATATTTAACATTCTTCAACAGTATAATTTCTTGTTACTCACAAGTTGTTGGTCCATGCATGGCAATGATACACTTGCATTGACGGAGGTTTTCCCGAGCATTGAATGGTCTCACTCGTACACACACTTTGACAGAAGACATATTTATTTCCTAAGACACCACCCAAAGATTCAACGAAGGCTGTATTCACTTCATTCGCCATCCCGCTGCCAAAATATTCAGCCCATGTCCGCCATCCAAGAAAATTTTCCAAGTCAAAGATCAGGATCCACACCTGTTGTAAATTCGTCTATTGAGAATTGTCTCACTATCTGACTACGAAAATAGTCCTTGAGTGTTCCTCGATGAATGGCAATAGCTTTCAGAGCGTTTCGTGGTGTTTGATTAAAGGTAAAGGTATATTTGTCGTGGTTTTTGTCGTGGTTTTGTGGAGGAAAACAAGGTTTTTACCGGTGCATCATATGATTACTGGAAGCAAATCATCACACATGGTCACGTGAGGGTTACAAACCGGAAGTGAAATACAACTAGTTACCAATCAATATCTACCTAACACAAGGCCAGGTCACTATGTACTAGTTCCACATGTTAAACGTGATGCAATAAATTTGTGAAAGGATTCTAGATTTTCGTGTTAAAAATCACCTAGAAATGATCTCGAGATCGGGTTTAAGTAAGCTGAGATCAGGGCTGTATCCACCAGAGTGCCTGTTATTCAATAATATAGTAGGATCGTCTCGTATATTGGTTTCTGGTACGCGGTTTACATCAGCTGCTACCGAGAGTGATTCTACCAATACTGATGTGAATCCTTCCAAAACTAGCGAGGCAGTTAATGCTTCTGAATTGGAATCCAAGCTGCTGGAAAAAGATAAAATAATCGAGGAAAAAGACAAACTTCTTAAAGAAATTCAAGTATGTATACGATTTATGCCATAAGTTGTACAACTTTGCTTATGTTCACTCAAATATGAAAATTGCATAACCTCCTGAAGTATTAAGAGCGCCTTACTGATGATTTCAATGTGTCGTCCTTTAAAATCAAGGTCCCACTTCCTGATCAACCTCCCCCTCCCCCACCTGATCATTAATCAGATGGAGAATGTCATCAGTCTAAAGGAAATTAATGAGTATTTAGCAGTTTGTCTCTTACCCCCTCGATTGTAACTTGCAGATCACATTGGCTTGGTTGAATGGATATTATTAGATTATCATTGAATATTAATGTTCATATTATAGGATAAATATAAACGGTCATTAGCAGAGAATGAAAATGTCCTGCAACGTGGACGCAAGATGACAGAGGAAGCAAAATTGTTTGGAATTCAGCGTTTTTCAAAGGACTTGCTAGAAGTTGCAGATGTTCTAGAAAAAGCTACAGAAAGTGTTCCCAAAGAAGAATTAGAGAAGAATATTCACCTTAAAAACTTATTTGAGGGACTCACTCTTACTGATCTACAGTTAAAAAAGGTCTTTTCTAAGAATGGTCTGGAAAAAGTTGATCCTGTTGGAGAGAAATTTGACCCACATTTGCACGAAGCTGTGTTCCAACTGGATGTACCGGACAAGGAAGAAGGCACTGTTGCATTGGTGCAAACAATTGGTTACAAATTGAATGGTAGAACTCTCCGACCTGCTCTTGTTGGGGTTGTTAAGAGAAAAAGTTAATGACAACCTCTGTTTGAACTCACTATAGTCTTGTCGAGGTTCCTAGTTTTTTCCTGGCCATAATAGCATTTCTCATATATCATCCCTTGTCATTTAAAGATCAAGCACTAGAAGTAATATAATATTTACTTTTATTTGATATACATATGTTCTCCCCTCTTTATTCAGTGTCTGAAACCCCAAGTCTCAAAAGAGTAAGCATGCAAAAATAAAATAAAAAAAGCTACTTCGGCAGGATTGATTTTATGTACTAAAAAATGTGCCACTATCAAGGCACTGTTACATTGAGCATCCTTACTTGCATCTTGTCTCACAGTGTTGGCACAATAACATAAAACAATCAATGATTGTAACAACAGGGTGGCAAAACATTTTCTAGTGTTGTGTCTACTTTAGATACACTTCTTATCTTACTGTACTATATATTTGTGGGAAAGGTTACAATAACATATTCTTAGTCCATCAGGTCATGTGATCATTTTCTGTCATTTTGGATGGTAGCCTTGAATGTTAGTAATCCATTTGATTCCATCAATGCCTCAAGCAAAAATCCATTAAAAACAAATCAGCTTAACTGATGTATCCTTATTCCAATTCTTATTTCATTTATTTTACAATAAGTATTTTTAATAGCCATGTTAATGGTATTTCTTGATTCTTTCATTAAAAAAGTTGAGTAATACATTTTTATTTTGTTTTCTTTGTTTGCAAAGTCCATTTTCAGTCACAACTGTTAAGGAGCCCTTTCCAAAACAGTGTAGATCATTGAAATACAGAACAGGATATCCCACACTTGAGATTTTAATCCACAATAAAGCCAGGGCGGTTCTTTCTGTTATTTACACTTACCAGACACGAATGTAGAATTATTTTCTTGGAAATGTAGTTCCTTTATCAACTCTTTCTTTCTTTTTTTGCTTCTGGAATATTTCCTTAATGGTGAGCTCAGGTGGGGCAGGGATCCTCAAATACCTGCAGTGACGAAGACTTGCAAAAGAATTCTTCTCTGACGGTGAAAGGCGTTGAAAATTTAGATCAGAGTAGCTTTGAAAAACGACTGGTAAAGACATGGATCGAGGGGGCTCTGTTTTGACTATAGCGTGACTAGTGGGTTTTTCCAAGGAAATCTTCCTGCATTTAGTAGCATTCTGGTTGAATTGTTCTATATTTTGGTTGAATATTTTTATCCTATGGTCAAGCTCATTCCGCTGTTCCTTAGCACTTAACTTGGTTAACTGGTTTGTTTTAGGATTAGATTTTTGGTTACCTTTTCTTAAACCTTTAGTAGGGTTTTCCGCATGTTCTCTTGACTTTGGGATTTTACCGGCTCCTGTGCCTGACCCTGCGGAAGGGTTAGATAAACCATTTTTTCTCACTTTCAAAGACAATGAAGCCGCATTCTGTGATCTGTCATTCTCTTTAGACATTGTTTTGTTTAGTTGACTGCCTCTCCGCTGATTCGTTTGAAGTTCATTTTCTTGGCGTAAAGCTCTGAATGATAGCGGCGAGATAACTTCACTGTGGCGTCGAGTCGTAGCTCCGCTCGGCACAGGCAGTGTTCCTGACCTTGGAGCCTGTAATAATGCCGGATTATAAGCTCCTAAGCTGTATCTTCTACCTTGTATCTTATCGCCTTGAGACAACTTCACTTCAGTTCTGCTGTCTTTTCTATCAATAGGCTGTTTATAACTTTGACCTTCATTTTGAGAATTTGTAGATGATCTTTGAGTAATTTCTGGTGCAACTGTAATTGAGGCGGAGTAAGAATTATTATTACCTCGTCTCCTGGTTCTTCGCTGCGGTTCATCTGTACTCGACGGATCCATGTCATCTCTGTCCACTCTTAGAATGTTAAGCTATCTTAAGAGTTCTGGATCAATTAATTCCAAAACTATTTGCCAGCGAGTCATGTAGTGGTTCGTCTCGTCAGTAACATAACACACCCATTGTATTGTGGTGTGTTAACATGTCATGGCCTTAGTGACGTCTCATCCTGTCTTGGGGCACAAAAATGAAGTACGCACATTATTGTGTGTGCAAAAATGAGCGCTTTTTCTTCCTGCGCATTCTCTTACGTCGGTCATCGTTCCATCCAGTCACTGTCAACAGATTTACGAAAGGACTAAGACCTCTCTGCGACTGACTTGAGCGCATTTTACTGGGCATCAAATTTAGAGTCTACATTAAAATCTACAAAAATCAATTTCGAATCTATTTTACTTTTTATTAATTTTCTTTCTACTCTCCAAAGAAACAAGTATCTTGGCCTCCCCGCCGATATGCGTGACATTTTGATTTCGTCATAATCTTGTCATACAACTCACCCCTCGAGTTATTCACGACATTTGAAAAGCTCATAGATAGCATTGATAAGACAAATCTCGATTATTATTTGTTAGGTGATATAAATTGCGATCTCTTAGAACTAACGAGAACGAACCTAGCTTCATCTAATTTAATTGATATTTTGGATAT